CTCTACTCTTCATCACTATGATGCTGTAACTCAGAGGTGATGATGGTTACCCAGCTCTACTCTTTATCACTATTATGCTGTAACTCAGAGGTGATGAAGGTGACCCAGCGATGTCCAGTAGTCTCCAGTGAGAGCAGCAGCTGCTGCACGTTGTAATGCCGTCGCTTTAGTCGTCCTCTCCTTTCATACAACTCGTGTGTTCTTCTGGTGACGGTGCGTCTTGAGGCTCATACGTGACGTCATTCGTTGAGATCCTAAAGGTGCGTTCACACCAAACGTGACGTGAACGCACCTTGAAAACGTTCCTCAGACCGACATCTTCCACAACACTAACCTGCAGTTTGTCTCCACTTCTCTGTAGCATCTGTTAGCTTGTGTTGCTTTAGTTTATCTCTACTTCTCCCACACGCTGCATCAACGTAGTCTGAAGACTTCCTCCACCGCTGCCAGTGAGCAACGCACTTTACAAATAATAACAAAACAAAATGCGTTAACGTGCGATAACATAATTGTCGGTGTTAATTAATTAATACGTTAACACGATAACACGTTAAGTTGCCCAGCACTAATATATATATATATATATACGTGTATATAATGAGCTACTACTTTTTAATGTTAATTTAAATTATGTTTATATTAAACTCAGTAGTTTTGTTCATTTTAACCATGTATATTATGTTTATATTACCATAACATGTTTATATTAATATAAACCTGTTAGACTGAAGCATCAAATGTGTCACTCATGAGACATTCTTCTCACAGTATTGAAGAGACTGACATCATATAGACACGGTGTGTTTTATTTAAACCACCAAGTGCAGAATCACCAACAACCAACAAACACAGAACGAGCAACGCTACACAGCTTTCTAGAAAATGTATGTACACATAGAAAACTTTGTGCTGTTTCACTTTTTTTCTTTTGTTTCAACTTCAAATTATGTTTTATGATCTTTAATGAAAACGCGAAGGGGGGGGGGGGGTGCTGATGCTGGACCAGACACATAGGTGACTGTCTTCGATGTGGTACTGGACTCTCTACGGACCAGGAGGGACTCCAGAAGACTTAAGGACAACTCTACCGGTCTGTCCTCATTTTCTGTGTTTTTCATTGTCCATCCAAGTTTGATCCAGGTGGGTTTATTTTGACCTGTCCAGGTCTCAGGTTGAGACGGGACACTCCATACGGACAAGAACGCCTTGAAGGACAACCCGGCAGGTATGTGTAAAGTACTGTTGGTCCAGGTTTGTCCATTTGTCCAGACGTGCGATGATACTGTCTATCTTTTTACAGGTGTCTCTTTATGTCCTTCCAGGTGTGTCCTGAACTGAGCCTCACCAGCAGACCAACTTCATGTTCCGGACAGAATAGTTTCCTGAATCAGGTCAGTTCATCGTCTCTTATTTTAAATCTGGATTCATGTTGGAAGGAAAACTGTTCTTGATGGGGAGATGGAGACAAACTGATCAAACTGGGAAATGTGTTTTCTTGTTCTGTGTCTGCTCCAGCGCCCCCCCCCCCCCCCCCCCCACTGTGACAGTTCAAACTGCAGTACACACCTCAGCCTTGAGCTTCAGGTGATACATTCGGTGATACATACAGGTGACCGGGTCGAGGCAGAGTCACAGATAACCAGAGTTTAACTCTTTAGTTTGTGAACGCTAACACTCTTAATGAAAGTTCATGAAAGGAAAACACAAACTGTGTGAATCCCCGACTCTGGTAAGGCGAGTAAATACAGTAGAACACAGTAGAACACAATAAAGGAGCAGAACCCTGTACAAGATCCAGTTAAAGACTTGAATTACCCAGAACAACCACAGAACCACAGACCTGCTGCCCCAGAACCAGGACTCTGGAACCAGGGACGGATCAGAGGTCAGCTGGTGTCTGTGAACACAAACTGACCAAAAAATAACATACAAGCCATGATGTCATCGGTTCACATCAAATATTTTCAAAGTGCTAATTGGTCCCCTCGATTAGAAGTGGGCGTGGCCATCTGAAGAAGACATGACATCCTCCTCAAACATGCTGACATAAACTCTTTTGCTATGAGTTTCTCTCTCTCTGTCTCTCTTACTCTCTCTCTGTCTCTGTCTGTCTCTCTTACTCTCTTCCCCCCCCCGTCTCAGTAGTGCTCCTCAGAGTGGGCGGGGTCACAGAAGAAGCGAGAGCTGCGTTTGGCTGATCGGGCCGTGAAGGGTACGGCTTTCAGAGCTGTAGGTGAGACGGAACAAAACAGCCAATCAGATGACAGACAGAAGAAGAGGTCTAAACATGACTGTTCACCTGTCACAAAGTTTTTATAAGTGGTGTGATGTCACCTGTAACCATGTGTTTACCTGTGATGATGTCCTCTATGGCTCCATCCTTCCCTTCATAAACATGGCAGCTGTCTTTTCCTTGTCGTCGTCTGAGCTCTGTGAGCAGCTCCTGCTGCGGCCGCTTCGCCCTGTGGGAGGGAGACTGGAGGGAGGAGGGGGAGAAAGATGAGACCTTTAGAGATCATACCGCCTTCAGAGATCTTACCAACTGATATGTAAATTATGGATGCTTGCCAACAAAGATAGCTAACTAGCACTGGCGTTAGCTGCTGACATAGCATTGGTCATGCTAATGAGACCTTCCGCCACTGAGCCCTGCTCCTCTCAAGCTCCACCCTCCCGTCCAAATTTGGTCACTTCTGGTTCCAAAAATTAAATATTGCAACAGCCGGAGCCACCCAGCTTCACTTTGGCTCTGCAGGAACCTATGGGTGTCGTCGCAGAGACGAGTGAGTCTCGTTGCGAGTGAGTCTTGTTGCCATAGAGTTGCGTACAAACGAACAAATCGGTGACTCTTTCGATTCTTTCTACACTGCTGGTCGATAGTAAATCATGACTCAGCAGTTCCACCGGTGTGACAGGTCAGAGGTCACAGTCTCACCTTGGTCTCCTCCTCCTCCTGCTGCTCCTCTTGCTCCAGTTTCTCCAGTAACATTTGTTCTTGACGCCTCCTTTGCTCGTTTTCCTCCTCTGCCAGCTGAACACACACACATATGCAGAAACACACATTGAATACACACCAACCTTATTTTGTGTTGAGCTGTAAGTTATTAAGACCTGAGGACTTGTTTCAGACAAACTCTGGTCCTTCATGTCCGTAGACCACGCCCCCTGTATGGGAGGCGGGGCTTGAGATGTGTCACTCACCCTGTATGCCTTAATGAAACGAACGAAGATGGGGAAGAAAACAGACGGCGGCATCGTCTTGGAGCTATCCCCGAAAAACTTCACCACGTCTTCAAAAGCATCCTGAAGAATCCAAACAAAAGGAATAGATTAGTTTTTGCAGTTTCATTAATGATTTTTGAAATAGCAGGATTAATAATTATTGATTACTCATTAAAAATGGCTCTTATTTCAGATGTTTGCTACATGACCAAAAAGGTTTTGTTACGTCTTCCTTCTGCGCTGTGATTGGATGAGTAACAGTGATGTCATCAGCAAGTAATATATTATTGTTTATACTCATCCATCATAAACACTTAAAATATCTTTAAAATAAAATGGCATATAATCTTTAATATGCGCTCTTCTCTTTTTATTTTATTCCAGTGTTAAAGTCCTGAAAACTTCAGAATATTAAAAAGTGAATTTACTTCTTAACCATTTTGTTTTGCCCGTAAAGTCCTCGACGTTGTTGGGTAAGTTAGCTGTGTGCTACAACTTCAATCATTTTTTCAGCCTATATTTCAGCAAATATCACTGAATTATTTTTATACTGACGAAAATCTTCAATGTTTTGGACATTTTTTACGAAAATTATTCAATAAGGAGCTACGGGTGACAGATCTTTTAAATATATGTTGTCTTTCCTCACAAATGTTAACATGAAGCTTCATATTAAACTAGCAAAGAACCACCATCATGAGTCTTGATATTCAGAGCATGAAGAGTCATGATTCAGTTCATACTCTCTCTGTCATTGATGACTTTGATGAGGAAAACGATCGGAGTGGTCGCCATATTCTGTGTAAAACAAATTAAACTTAGTGTGTGTGTGGTCTCACCTGAGCGATGCGTGCGTCCTCCTGCAGTTTGCCGAGTCGTGATTCGTGTCTGCTGATGAAGTCTTTCAGTGTGGCATTGTGTCCAACACTAAACTCTCTCCAGGTGAGCTCCATGCCACGCTGCAGCTCCTTCACATCACACAGCACGTTCTCCAGACTCACTAAGGACGGGTGAGGACAGGAGACGGGTGAGGACACACACTACACAGTCTGTCTTGCAGCGCTCTGATTGGCTGACAGACTTACCTGCAGCAGCCTTGTCCACATAGTGAAGCTCGTTATAGAACAAACACTTTGCAGGATATTTCTCTCTCACAACGTTGGCGATGTAATGAAGCAAAGTCTGTTTCCTGTCTGTTGACTTTGTCTCCAGGAGCTGAAACACAAACACAGATATTATTACAAATATTCTCCTATATAAACCTCAAGTATTGTTCTCGTGTGTGTGTGTGTGTGTGTGTGTGTGTGTTACCAGGTCTAAACTCTGCAGTTTGAATCCGTAAATGGCTCCTCTCTTACTGCTGTTCATGTAGTTCCCCAGAGCCAAGATGATCTACAGAACAGAAGCAGGTGTAGTTTTACTTTTCGTTCTTTAATGATATACATTTATATACATATCAACATAATGGAACCTTGTCTTTATGTAGCGCTGCTTGTTGTTTAGCAGTTGTTTTTTAATCTACGTCACAGCAGTGGTGATATTAGATATAATAATTAGTAAGTATTATATTTATCAACCAATACGATTTCTTGATGTGAGCTACCAATTTTATAAAGATTATAAACAAGTACTGTAATTATAAGTTAAGCGGATAAAATACATCGACTGTATATTTATAGTGTACTATAGTGTAAATACTTCTATACAAACACAGACTGACCTCCAGGATCTTCTTGAGCTTCTGAGATGACTTTATAGAAACTGAAGCAGCGATCATGGCGTGGAGTTGCTGAGAGGAAACACAACAAACATCCATTAGTGTGTACAACTGTCTGTCTGTTTACCCATCTGTCTGTTTACCCGTCTGTCTGTCTGTTTACCCATCTGTCTGTTTACCCGTCTGTCTGTCTGTTTACCCGTCTGTCTCTATTTGTTTGACTCTCTTTTCCCTTTGTACTTGTTAATGACATATTTAAAAAGTGGATCAATATTTCAAATATATTTTATTTGTTGATTTAAATGTAAAAAAATGTTTTCCGAAGAATATCTCATATTCAGTGAGCATGTAATTATCCCATTTAACCCATTAAAGACCGTATCTATCGCCTTTGGTTTAAATCCTTCATACGTCTTCCCTGATCTTCATTACCGTGATGATGTTTGTCCCTCTACCCGTCTGTCTTACCGGAGTTAACATCTGGATGTTGTCTGTGAAGTTGCCCATGAAGGTCATGATGGACATTCTCTGAGTGAGTCGTTCGATGCGACTGAACTGCATCATGAAGCGGTCTTCGTCACTCAAAGCCTCCAGAGGTTTTCTGTCCCTCTCGTATTGTCGTAGAAGCTTCACCTCGGCCTCAGTCGGCAGGAAACGCATCAGACACTCGACAAAGTCCACCCGAACTGTCCGTAGGTCAAACCTGCAGAAACACAAAATGCACTGAGTTACATTGAATCCAAGATGAAATACAGACCTTCCACTGTTAGTAATACTGTCTGAACTTCCCAGGTAGCCAATCAGAACACACCTGTCTTATGGACTTGCTAGGTCCCGTGAAAAACTAAAAGTAATTAGTCACATGACTTGTTAGTCACTCGGTAGTCACATGAATCGTAGTTAGCAGTCTGGTTAACGTCAAACACGCTCTAACCCTCAACATAAGTAAATGGTTTTGTTGCCTAAAACAACTTCCCATGAAGGAGGAAGTTTATTTTGAAGAGACACTCTGAATATGAAAGGAGAAAACTGACAACATGTCATAGTTTGAAGCTTCAGAGTGAGAACATGTGGTGATGTTGAGGTGGTTGTGTTACTGGTTTTACTCCTGTGACTGGTAAACTCTATCCTACTCATGTTTCTGGTTAAGTTTGACTTGTGTTATAGTTACTGGTACTTCCGGTAGTTACACTACCGCAAGGTCGGCGGTTCCATCCTTGGTTGCTACGTGTCCTGTGTCGAAGTGTCCCTGAGCAAGACACTGAACCCCTAACTGCTCCCCGGGCGGCCGGTCATGGGGAGCAGCCCTATATTCAGGGATGGGTCAAATGCAGAGACCAATTTCCCCTTCCGGGATGAATATAGTATAATAAAATAAAAAAAATAAAAAACTTTCAATACTTGCACCAGTGTTATTGTTACTGGTACTATCGGTAGTTGCACCAGTGTTATTGTTTCTGGTACTATCGGTAGTTGCACCAGTGTTATTGTTACTGGTACTATCGGTAGTTGCACCAGTGTTATTGTTACTGGTACTATCGGTACTTGCACCAGTGTTATTGTTACTGGTCCTATCGGTACTTGCACCAGTGTTATTGTTACTGGTACTATCGGTACTTGCACCAGTGTTATTGTTACTTGTACTATCGGTACTTGCACCAGTGTTATTGTTACTGGTGGACTTACGTGTGGATGGCGCGACAAGTGACCTCCGGTCCCTGGCCGGCCTTCCTTAGAGTGATGGCCAGGTTCTTTGACCTGTTGGCCTCCAGCAGAGAAACTTTGGATGGAGCTTTCTGAGGAAGTTTCTGTCTGGACAGAGTCAAGTCCACTGCTGGACCCTGAGCCTTTGTCTTAAACAGCTCCTCAAACTCCTCCACATTCAGGTCCTGAGAGAGAGATACACAGAGCGAGAGACAGGCAGCCTCTTTTTTAGAATCTTTTCAGCACTGATTAAAGCCTTGCAGGCTGTACAACAACCTCAGCAATAAACGGTCTGTATGTTTCCTGTCAAGTGAGACTCCAAAGTATACATATAACCATTTTTTAACGAGGAGGTCTCATTAAGTTTAAGACCTCGTTTACTCACTTTCTGCAGCTTGAAGCTTTTTGTTGTGAACGCATGACAACATCAGCTGCTCTCTTTTCTCATCGAGAGTTTCATATATTTATAAATAACACATTTCTACCTTAACATCTAAATAATCTGAATACTTGAATGTAACTGTTGTATTACCTGCAGGATGGCCTCATCGTCGATGTCGTTGAAGACGGTCCCGTTGATCTGACTTGGCTTCAGGGCGACCCAGTTCAACACAGGCATCCTAAACTTGGTCTGTATCGGCTTCTTTATCTTCACCGCTGTACATCATAGAGACAGACAGGTGAGCAAGGAGACAGGTAGTCTACTCCACATCAGATTTACTTTGAGAAGGATGAAAATCTAGAGTGTTAGGACTGAATGTGAAGTCAAATTTCACTTTGGTCTTTGAGTTTGACAGCTGAAATGTTTGTTCACCTTCAACAACAACAGTAGAAACTGAACAGACGTTCACTATAGCCCTAACCCCGTTCACCTAACCCGCTGTAACGCGATGGTGGACGGATGGTGGAGGGATGGTGGAGGAGCGATGATGGTGGAGGGATGGAGGAACGATGGAGGAGGGATGGTGGAGGGATGGTGGAGGAGCGATGATGGTGGAGGGATGGAGGAACGATGGAGGAGGGATGGTGGAGGAGCGATGATGGTGGAGGGACGGTGGAGGAGCGATGGTGGAGGGATGGAGGATTATCGACAAATGTAAAGATGGTAAAATGTAAGATAGTAAGTAAACGTACAGAATAACTTGAGAGGACCGTCTGTCAGCAGAACGAGAGAAAAAACATGTTAGTGTTATGAAACTCGCCGGATTAAATTGCACAGTTACCATGACAACTGAGAATTCTGGATTGTGATTGGCTGGAAGGGGTCGATTCACTTTTAATAACTGGAAAATAAAACCAAACACCTGCGACTCAGGCTCACCACCAACAACAACAAAGATAAACAGTTAACAGTAGTGACCAGAAAAAACTGAATCTGGACATCCAAAGAAATTGTCAGAGGACACATCAGAAATACGTTTGCAAAACAATTCTAATTTACAACGTTGATATAAGTGGAATAATTCCCTGAAGGTTTGCGGTTCATGTCAGGTGGTTATTAGCCTCTATTAACATGACAAAGGTTAACCCTAACATGTCAAATTAAACCTTGACAACTATTGGCAAACTATTTCCTGAAAAACATAATTGGTCATTTCATTCAAAAAGACTCCATGAGCACCAACATGGAGAGTTTTTTTTAAGATGGTGGCAATCTTAATAGAAATAAACTTAAAGCAAATCTTGTAAATTGACCCAGAAATACGTTTTAGAAAATGCTCAGCAGCAAAGAACATTTTAGAGGTTAAAACATAAACAACAATCCATCTGTTCGTGTTTGTTAGATAAATCTAGATTTTGCTGTGGTTTAACTTCTCACCTTGTTGCAGTGACGTACAGGTGTACTCCAGTAACCCGTAAATATTATACAGGTGTACTCCAGTACACCATCAGTGATGCTGGTGGTCCAACAGTATCAACAGAAACAAACAGACCTTCGTCTGATGTCACGTTACTCTTTAAGTGCATGTTTCCGATAATATTTTTGAAAGTTTACCTCAGTGTAGATTTCAATGCTGGACTGTAAAGTGAAAGTTCCATATTTTCCCGTGCGGTCTGTAAATGCATCATTTAAACCTTCTTGTTCAGTCTCACCTGCAAGTCCAGAGTTAAAGATGACCGTGGGCCCACCCGAACCTGGGAGAGGGGGGGCCGCAGGGGGAGGAGGGGGGGGCATGGGGACGGAGGAGGAGAGCTCGCTAGTCCGACATGGAGGAGGAGGAGGAGGTGGAGGAGGGGGGGGAGGAGGAGGAGGAGGAGGAGCGGGGGGAGGTGCAGGGCATGACCCATTGGACACTTAAAAGACAAAGAGAAGAAGAAAGAAAACGGGTAATGCGTAAATGTTTGTTACTGGTTCGTGGTGTACTAAAAGTTTATCATTTGGGAGTACTTGTAGTATTTGGTGGCAGTATTAGCATCACTTTGCAGTACTATTTCTTTTACTGCAGTGGGAACCCCTTTATGCATTTTATGATTGAACATTGTGATTGGTGGAGCTGAAACTCACCTATGCCTGGCATTGTTGGCGGAGGAGGTGGAGGGGGCGGGACCGGCATCCCTGGAGCTCCGCCTATCGCCGGTCCCATGCTGTGATAGGCTACGGTCTCAGGACTGTCGAAATCAATACGGTAATCAATCAACAATCAACGATCATCAGTCATTGGTTCAGGAAGAAAACGTTTTCCCCTTTTTGCATTGATTTGGACATCTGACATGTTGGCATCGTAAAGTGAAGTCATTTGTGGCTCAACACAGTACTTCATGATCATCCCATTCACAGTATTGATTATGAGGGTGGGGTTCCTCAGGGTTCTGTTCTGGGTCCTTTTCACTTAGGATTTATTGCTGCGTACGTCTGATGAACATAAGTCTAGTATTCACCACCAGAGAGAAATATAGCAGCTAGTCTCTGACAGCGGAGTAAACGGGGACGTCTCTCACCTGGGGGACAGGTTAGGACAAGGTGGAGGTGAGGGGGAGGCGGAGTCACCAACTCCCCCGTCTCCCTCTCCTCTCTGGGGTTGAGGAGCTCCGGGTCCTCCGGCCTGTTGGGCCTCCTGAGCCTGTCGCTCCAGACGACTCTGACGCCGGATCGTCTGGTCCTTCTCCCGAACAATCCGCCGCAAGGTGTGCACCTGAGAGTTACTGCTGGCATACACCTCCTGCACAGGTAACAATTGGGGAGTGGTTGTTGGGTAACAGGTGAGAAGTTAAAGGAACATTCCAATATTTAGATTTAGAAATATTTTCTCCGTTTCTTTTGTTCAGGTTCAGAAACCGAAATGTAGACCCATCTTTTTGCAAACATCCCTCTCATTAGCATCATCATACACGGTGTCTGTCTCTATGGTGACCAAATGTTTGTGTGGTTTCCATGGCAACAGCACTGACCCGGACGTTGTCCAGCTCCTTGTTGGTTTGCATCAACTGTTTCTCCAGTTCAACAATCTTCAGCATCGCTTCATTCTCCACGTCCAGGAGACGCTCCGACATCTGAGGGAGACAGGTTAGTCGACACCTGTCTGTCTGAATACATGTCTGTCTCTAAACTTGTCTGTCTGTCTTTCATTGCTTCGTTCTCTTTGACCAGCAGACGCTTCAACATCTGAGAACAGCGAGAGACAGATTAGTACACCTGTCTGTCTCTCCACCTGTCTGTCTTACTGTGCCGATGCTCTCCTCCAGCTCCTCGACTCGCTCCAGAGCAGCGGTTTTGGTCTCGGCGTCCTCCAGCAGCGTCCCGACGTCAAACACATTGTCGAGATATGCCTGAATCTGAACCTGAAGCCTGTCGCTCTCCGTGTGCTTCAGCCTCTGGTGAGACAGATAGAGAGACGGGTTAACACAGAGACAGGCTTGTCGTTAATCATCAGCCCTCGTGTGATTGGCTGAGAGCGGAACATGTGACCGTGTTACCTCCAGGTGTTCGTCCAGGTTTAGTTTTGTGAAGTCGTACTGCAGATGTACTCTGAAGTTCATGTCCTCCACCGAGTGAACCACGATGTTGATGAACTGCATACAGGCCACCTGACCACCGTCACCACGGCAACAACAGACACAAGTTCAGTTGGAAACCAGTTATTTACCTGCTGATGTCATCCTAATTCAACTCTAACCCTAAAATAATAGAAAGGTCAATTAAGAAATAATTTAATGTGAAGAAAATGAATTATTATAGTTGGTGTTTATTTAACAATGTTGTGTTTATGTTTCAACCTGAATCAGGTTAAATGAAGTGACAGGTAAACATTGTGTTTAAACTTTAAGTTAAAGTCAAAGAGCAGCTTTAATCATGTTGACGAAGCTTTAACTGAATGTTGTGTAGAGTTTGATCAATACTATATATATTCTAAAGATAATGAATTAAAGTTAACATAGAGTTAATCTCTCGTACCAAAAAGTCGATGTTGTCGTCTTCGTTCTTAAAATGTTCCATCAACTTCTCAAAACGCATCGACTCCGAACAAACCTGCAGAAGATCAATCAGTCAATTAATCAATGAATATTAAATCCCATTCATTCTACCTGCAGTCTGTAGAGAGTACTGTGTGTGGAATACTACAGTATGTAAATGTGTTTGTTGATTCTACTCTGGCACCAACGAAGAAGTCAAACAGTGGCATCAGAAGAAAAATTGTTTTGTAAACAGTTTTTAACTGTGACATAAAACTGACGTGTGTGTGATTTTTACAGTTTTGAAGTTGTCGAAGGCTGACAGGATGATCTCATGTCCTCCTCTGACCAAACACACCGCCGCCAACAACTCTAACACCAGAGCTTTCGTCCTGATGAAGACAGGGAGAGAGATGGGTCAGCAAAAGTATGAACAGACTGGTGGAGAGACAGGCCGGCAGACATTAGAGAGACGAGTGGAGAGACAGGCCAGCAGATGGTAGGCAGTGTACCTGTGTCTAGTTCCTCGTTAGTATTTTGTGTACCTGTGTCTGTCTAGTTCCTCGTTAGTACTTTGTGTACTTGTGTCTGTC